ATCCTACATACCATATATCCACATATGCAGTACATATATATAAATATATATAATATAAGTTTCAAATATCAATGTCTCTAACTATGAGGTGGGAAGTGATCAGGTCTAAATCCTTTAAAAGAAGGATCAACAGTCTAGGGTGGTGCAGAAGAAGGATAACCAGTCTAGGGTTGTGTAGCATTCATAGAATATTGCTGGCTAAGTAAGCACATGTGCTCTTGAAATCTCCTCTCAAAGCTGGCCTCCATCTCTGATACTCTCTGTGATACCTTTGTATGAATACGTGCGGCCACCTTTGTCTGACCTCGCTCAGCCATTTCTTCCCGAACTTGAGTAAGCTTAGACTGCAACTGCTGAACTTGTGTCGTAAGAATCCTGGTGGTAGAAGAGGAGGTGTCACTCATGTCATACCGTTGCCAAGGGATGCCATGCTCTGCTGGATCTTGTAATGTAGACATCCCTCTCATCTGACCCTTTTTAGGAGGTCCAACCACCTCCTTCCAGATAAGTGGATCCCATTTTGGCCATGAATCCTTGTTTGGCCCATGCTTCTCCACATATTTTTGGTGAGTATTGTTTTGTTTCAAAAATAAAATTTCAAATGATAATAGGAAATCAAATGAAAAATAATTATTTACTGAATACAATGGATAAAAAATTGTATCACTTTTCTTCTTTTATGGCAATATGACATTAAAAATAAATAAAATTAATATCATAAAAGAATCAGATTCTTACATATGTCTGCTCAGCCTGTGGACATATCCAAGTAGGTGGGGCATCTTCTGGAGCATCAGGTCAGCAAGTCATGTGAGTCAACAAGTACGACTTTAAAGGTGTTGGCCTAACTCCTCCTCTTTTAGCTGCCTATTAAAATATCAATAAAATCAATAACATTTCCATTTTTATGGTAAAAAAAAAATTTATATATGTATATATATAAGTATATCTTACTAACTAGTTGATCCTCATGGATCCCAATAGAAAGGCATCCAGTTGTGTGGGTCACACGGTCACCCTTTGATCGGTTTTGCCGACCTTTTTCCTGGAGTGCAATATATTTTGGACTTCTCCATTTTGCTAACAAAATTTTAAAGGTATCCTTATGCATGAACTCGAGCAACTTCTTGTCCCTGACCCACGCCTTTCGAGCTCGATGAAGCTCGTCTCGAAAACGGTTTCGACAATATAATCTCCAGATTTTATACACACGAGCATCATCCTCTTCCCAATAATATGTCCTCTGTAATGAAAAAAAAAATTAAATGTTAATGATTTATTTGATTTTTATTTAAAAAAGAGAAAAATTTTGCTTAAATTGTCATTTTTTTTCACTATTATAAATAAAATATAAAAAATCATATAAAATATACCTTGTACTTCCATATCAAATACCATACGAGTAAGGTGATAGCATCTAAATAAATTCTCAAAAAATACTTCATTTTATTTTATAATTTTCATACCTGAAAATTCTCCCAAGAAATCCTCTTCTTTTCCTCAGGCCAACTAGACCAGAAAAGCACTGGCTCATCATAGAAGTACTTCCAAATTACTGTGGCAATCCTCCCAAACCTCTCATGGCTGAATGTGCCTCGGTGATTAAGGCTAAGCACCTTCCTTTGACTCGGGTCTGTAAGAGCGTCATCTCCTTTATCCATGCCACGTCCTGTCTTCGGGACAGCACGTGATAGCTCCTCCTCCAACTGAGCATCTAACTCAGGATCAAGCACAACATACTCAGCGTCCAACTCAGCCTCCAAATTACGCTCTTCAGTGTCCTCCTCCATTGTTGCATCATCACCAATGAACTGGTCATCGGCCAATGGTGGCTGAGTAACAGTGGGTTGCTCCTATTGCAGCTGTGCAGGAAGCTGAGTCAAACTGGAAATCTGTTACTGTGTGGAAGGCTGGCTCAAGCTAGGCAGCTGCTGCTGTGTAGGAACAGCCTTACGAGGCCCCCAAATAAGACGACGAAATGACCTCTGTGGTTCTCCCTCTAGATCAACCTGTTGTCTAAAAGAAGATGCACCTCGCGTACCTCGTCTTATATTTGTATACAAAAATAATGGAAACACATCAACTTCCTTTTCATGAAGAAAAGCCATAATTTAAAAAAAAAAAACAAAATATAAAAATATTCAATTAATAACTTTTAGATTAGATAAAAAATATAACAGTAAACAAACTCATTATATAAGTTCAATAGCTTAATACAATAGGTTAAATCCTCATTTTGGTCCCTGAACTATTGTACGGACTCCCGATTTGGTCCTTGAACTAAAGAAATCCCTGATTTAGTCCCTAAATTATTCTATGGACCCCCGATTTGGTCCCCATTGTTTATAATTTGGCCTAAGTTGGTCCTTGAACTATTATACGGACCCCCAATTTGGTCCTTACTGTTTACAATTTCGCCCCAATTTGATCCCTGAGCTATTATTTAATAGAAGGACCAAGTTGGGGCTAAATTGGTAAACAGTAGGGACCAAATTGGGGATCCGTATAATAGTTTAGGGACTAAATTGGGGGTCCGT